CCGCGGTCGACTACGTGGGAGTCCAGCAACATAGCCATTATGTTAACTGCTAGTTCCCAAGGTTTTTATTATTATTATTTTTTTTAATTAAGGTTTTTGCCATAGGGCACATGTGCTCACCAAAGAGAGAAAAACAGGGAGAAGAAAAATGAGAAATCACCCCCCCCAGGGGGATAGCCACATCACAGTCCTCTCTCCACTCTCCTCCTGGGATTTTAGGCATGACCCACAGATGCCCAGTGTGATTTCAAGCTGTTGGATCTGTAACTTCAACTACGGTTGGCCACCTCAATCATCATGCCACCTGCTGGTCCTGAAGGGGTTTTCTTTTAAACTCATATTGGGTCATATATTTTATCCTTTATGATATCTCTTTTTTAGTTTGTGTGCTTAGAGCATTTATATTTAATGTAATTATGGACATTACATATATTAAAGTATGTTTGTTATTTAGGCCTGCTATTTTATTATTTTTGTCTTGCTTTTTTTTTTTTCTAGATTCTGAGATTTTTTTTTCCCCAAGATTTTTTCCATAGGGCACATGCATTCACCTCAGAGAGACAGAGACAGACAGTGAGAGGGAAAGTGAGAAATCAGCCCTCATTTCATGAGAAATCAGCCCGATGGGTCATGCCACGATTACTTCTCCTCCATTTTCCTCTCAGGATTTTTGGAATGCACATACATGCACCCAACACGACTTTCAAGCTGCCAGGTTTGGGACTTGAACTGCGGTTGGCCATGTGTGAGTCCTGCACTCCATCCACCATGCCACCTGCTGACCTCTGTATTGTGTTTTTCTAACTGTACATCTTTAATATTTTTAAGTCATTGCTCAAAGGATTAAAATATCCTTAATATTTTGCTCAAAAATAAATCATATTTCTTCATTTCAAGTGGAATGTAGAAATCTTAGGTTCCTGTACTCTCCCCTTCTATACTGAATCCTCATGAGACAGCGCTAAAGCTTTTACTTTCAACCATCTAACATATTTTAAAGAATTTAAGATAAGAATAAATAGTATTTACCCACACATTTACCATTTCTGTTGCTCTTCTCCAATTCCTGATGTTTCAAGTTTCTTTCTGGCATCATTTCCTTTGTCCGAAGAATTTTCCTGAGCAGTTCTTTCAGAGCAGGTTATTGATAACAAATTCTCTTAGTTTTCCTTTATGTGAAAATTTAAAATTTTACTTTTATTTCTGAAGGCAATTTTCACTGGATGTAGAATTCTGAGCTGATATTCCCCCCAGCACTTTAGAAATGTCCGTCTTCTGTAAGTTCTGATATAAAGTTCATAGTCATTTGAATCATTGCTCTGCCACGAGTAATGTGCTATTTTTTCTCTGGATGCTTCAATTTTTTTGTGTTTACTCTTGGTAGTTTGATTTTAATGATTCTGGGTATGAATTTCTTTTGAATTGATCTTGTTTGGAGTTTGCAGAGCTTCTTGAATCTGTATGTTTGTTTTTCTACAAATTTTAGAAATTTTCAGGTCTTATTTCTTCAGATATGTTTTTCTGCATTATACTGCCTCCTTTTTCTCTGACTCTAATGACACAAATTAGATAACTGATACTGTCCCACAGATCTCTAAGGCTGTTTTCATTACTTTCCATCTTTCTCTTTTTGTTTTTAAAATTTGATGCTTTTTATCAATCTATTTTCAAATTCATTAATTCTTTTTTTTTTTCTCCTGAGGCTGTCCAGTGAGTTTTTAACCTTTTGGTTAATGGAGCTATAAAAGTCTCACTTGATTATTTCACTATACCTTTTACTTATTTCTCAAGACTTTCTTTTTGTTTGCTTTAAGTTTTCGACCCTTTTGAACTATGTTTACAATCGTGCTTTAAAATCTTGGCTAAATAATTTCAACATTTGTGTCATTTCAACATTGGCTG